TTCGAACCCTTTGCTAGGATGGAGTTGGGGAGGGCGATCCGGGACCTCCCCTTCGATGACAAAGTTAGAACTATTGCACTTGACATGTTGACTTTCCGGGACCTCCCTTTCGATGACAAAGACAAAACTGTAACAATTGCAGGCCTTTGGAAACAGATGCCGAGGTGTCACGCGTCCTACTAGTGAGTGGGCTAGCTAGTAGGATGAGAATAGAGCACAGCAGCAGCAGAGATGGTGGCTCTGCTGCAGTAAGTCTTGCTGGAATGGGGACAAGGGGATTGACTGGGGGGTCTGTTTAAATCGTATCTCTGAGTCAAAGCCGGGTAATGGCCCCGGTATCTTAACTTTCAAAAGGAGCAGCTCTAAACTCTTAGTAGATTTTTAGCCTTATTTTCATGAAATTTTCTGATGATTTTTTTGAACGTGTCGGTTATGGGACGCTGGGCCCGGTTCCCAGTTGGTGCCTATTGGTTTCCGGCAGGTGTTGCTCCCCACCAATAGATGGAGTGCGTGTTTCCTTGAAAAAAAAAAAAAAAAAAAAAAAAAGAACAGCAACACATTCAGGGTTGCACAAGATGGTAAGAAGTCAAAGATGATCACAAAACTCGCCCATCCCTTGGACGCAGCAAGGCCAAAAACCCATGCGTCAGATAGGATATGTGAGTATGCTCGCCTATTTTATGAACAATTATTAACGACAGAAAAGGACCCTTCTATCCCACTGGTTGCCCCAGACATGGAACACATGCTCTGGGGGTCCACCAACAAGGTACTCACAGCCATAGAGGAGACTGACCTAGACCATCCAATTCCGTTCGCTGAACTCACGGCATCAATGCGCAGCATGGCCAAGGGTAAATGCCCGGGCCCTGATGGTCTCCCAATAGAGTTCTACGAGAAGTTTTGGAACCTGCTGGGTCCGGACCTCCTAAGGGTCTTCAACAATGCTCTACAGGATAAACAATTGGGCACTCGCACAAGGGAAGGGGTTATTACCTTCCTCTACATAAAGGGTGACAGATCCGATGTACGGAACTATCGTCCAATTTCACTATTAAATGTCTCAGGCAAAATCTTAGCCAAAACTCTGGCGAGAAGACTAGCACCGCTCATGACCAGACTAGTAGCCCCGGATCAATCCGGTTTTATACCCGGAAGGCTGGTCTTGAATAATGTAATGACAATTTCACAATCCCTCGACCTCATCAAAATGAGGAATGCCAACAATGTGGTTATTCTCATAGACTTCGAGAAAGCCTATGACCGGGTTAATTGGAACTTTGTACAAGAAGTGATGAAACGAGTTGGTATAGGCCCTAACTTGAGGAAATGGGTCAATGCTTTATACTGTGGGTCACACGGTAGAGTGGTAGTCAATGACCTGCTATCCAAATCCTTCACAGTCAGCAAATCACTGAGGCAAGGGTGCCCCCTTGCCCCCTCCCTCTTTGTAATACAGCTGGAAGTATTGCTGAACATGATCCGTACTCACGAGGAGTATAAGGGTTTGAGGATAAACCCGAGCTACGAACTGAGAGTGTCCGCCCTGCCGGACGATTTTTCGGCCATATCAGAGAACACAGTGGCCTCTTTGACAGCCCTAGAAGACTGTCTATCCGTCTACGAACACGCCTCAGAAATGAAAGTCAGCTGAAGTAAATCCACTGTCTTAATGTCAGAAGGGAATACCCTCGCAATGGATTTGGGTATGAAGGTTATCCAAAGTTCTGACGCAGAACGCTACCTGGGAATCCTAGTTTCCTTTGGTGACTGCAGTAAAGAACAAACGACAATTCTGGAGACACGTATACGGGACGCCTGTGCTAAATACTCCAAGTGCACCAACCTGTCACTGTTCGGCAGAGCACTGGTGGCCAATACAGCCATTCTCTCTACAGGATGGTATATACTGGCCATCAGATCACTATCTACCTCCTCGGCTGCACTAATCAGACAACTTCTCACCCGTTTTATCTGGAAGGGGGACTCAGATGGTCCCTCCTGCATCAATAAGGTTGCATGGTGGAAGCTCACGGAGAAAAAGGGTCAAGGAGGCCTAGGCATCCTGGACCCAGAAAGACAGAATCACGCCCTGCTCGCTAAGTGGCCGGTGGAACTACTCACCACCACTGAGCCCCACCCATGGATTTCAATCGCCCAAGCACTTCTGGCATAAGACTGGGGTCTAAGGAACCCAGAAGCTGTATGGCAAGCCTTACTGATGTACCCAATGCTAACCTCAGTTGAGTCTCTTACATGGTCCCCCATATTAAGGGCCTGGAGCCACTTACTGCCGTACATTATCTCCTCCCCCTCAGATCGCCTACAAATTTTATCTACTTGCCTGTTCAATACCCGAAAATTACCGACGCAACTGGACACGCCTTCTCGGTAGCCAATAAGCCAGGGAATTTCGGGCGGCGCTGGCTGCAGAGAGGGGTATGGCAGGTCCGACATCTTCTCGACGAACACACAGGAGGATGGCACTCAGCGGACATCCTGAGGACTAAACTGGGTAACCTTCGGAGAATAGAAGAGCACAGAAGCCTGCTGATTGAGGCTATCCCAGAAGGTTGGGTCAAAATTCTGAGGGAACCACATCAACAGTGGAGAGCCGGCTCATGGTGGCGGCGACGAAGCTGCACAGCGACATTCTGCCGAGTAGAACCCGGGGTTAACGGACCCGCGTGTCAAATAACAAGATGGAGACTGAAGGAAGGTTTGCTGTACCGGCAAGGTGAGCCTGAGGAGCTCCACGACAAGAATGACTGGTCTGAGATCAGAGTGTGCGAATCAATGCAGGGTAACAAGCATAAATTTTCCCCAATTCTGCGGGGAACTCCATACGAGGATTGGAAAGTGGACGTATCCAGGATAGGTTGGTCCATACAGGACCATTCTGTTGTTGGCACGCAGAAACTGATTACAGAATACTCTTCCAAACTGGGTTATTCTCTAAGATCCAAGACCTCCTCTATCCAGGCTGTGATTTGGAACAGCTGGTGGAAGAAGACGCAGTCCACAAATACTTAACCACCCAGCAATACCTGGGTCCCATTCTATATCACACTACTGCTGAGTATAACAGAGGTTAAGATGGCGGGCCTGCAGTGGCTTCACCTCCATACATCGGTCCCAACGGCTGCATGGTGTGCAGAAAGAGGTATGACAATTAGCACTGCGTGCGATGCCTGCCCCAGCGAAGCACTAGAGGATTACAACCACCTCTGGTGGGAATGTGTGGTTGCTAGGGGCTTCTGGGAATGGCTATCCCGTATGTGATCTTTTGCCTATGGTCCGGAGCCACTCTGGACCAGAGACTTTGTCCTTTTTGGTAGCGCCGACAAGGCCCATAACGTGATAGCAAACAAGTTTCGTACAATTGGTTTTTGGATTTTATGGTTAGCAAGGCGTGATAGACGGTTCAAAGGGACGCTGTGGTCAGAATATGCGGTTCAGAACAAATTTAAGTTCGCAGTCCGCAATCTCGCTGTCCGCAATCTGATGGCCGCAGAATGGAGAAAGACAAGGCAGGGAATTCATACTTTGCAGGTGGCAAAGGAGAACTTCCTCCAGAGGTGGAGTAAGACTTTCAAATGGGCTCATTTCTCTTCTCACAAATTAGTGGTCACAAGGCACTTGTGGGACGAGTCAGAGGAGGTTTAATTAGTGCCCTGAGATTCTGTTTTAATATTTTTTTGCGGTTTTTATCTTAGTTGTCCAGCTCTTACCTTTTTTTTTCACGAGCTATGCATTTTGGGACGCGCATTTTTACCAAAAAATCGAAAAAGTTCCTCAAAAGCAGGCACCTGGCCTTTCGGACCGTATAAGCTTTTTCGGATCCCACAGGGTCGACGTTCGTGGGCTGTTACGGCGCGGGGGGCGAAAAACGGTGGCTGTGCGAGGGACCTCTGAATTTTGGTTGGTCCGAATCGGGAAAAAAGAGAGACATACGGGCCCGCCTACTTTCTGGGGGCAGGGATGGGGCTGCCCACTTCTGGGAAAGTCCCCACCGCACAGCCGGTTTGTATGACGTGGGATCCAAGCCTTTTCCTGTGGGGTCCACCGGCCGGCGGCTGGAAAAGACGTGTGGCCACGAAAAGAGGGCAAGTCATTTGGGAAAGTTGGAAAGTACAGTTTCCGGGACCCCACCACCGAGGACCAATTGCTCTTGGAAAAATCAGTTCAGCCAATAGCGTTTGTTTTGATCTTATCTCCTTTTTTTTTTAATTGTTTTTTTGTGGCACTCTTCATCCTCTTGGCTGCTGCCTCCCGGTGGGAACACAAACCTTGCAGGTCCCCGATGCCAACAGCTGGCGCTTTGCCCTCCCTACCCTGTTGGAGGGCGTTTTGGAAAAGAGTGCCGGCCGCGGGAGGAGACTTTTCCATCTGCCAGCCATGTAGAAACACGGCTGACGGTGTCTCGGAAACGGCGGTGGGGTCTGAAATAGACGTCGCCAGACCTCTGGAAAACTTCCTGGCGGCCCGGTGGGGTCTGAAAACGCCCTTCCATGCCAAAACTGTTCCAGCCGCCGGCCGGTGGGGTCCGAGCCTTTGTCATGATGCACATGGCAGCTACGTAGGCTTTGTCATGATGCACACGGCATTTTTCACATTCCGCGAGCAGTGCGGCGGGCCCGCCCATTATTTCGAAGGCAAGCTGCCCGGCCAACGGCCTTGCGCGCGGTAATTCATCACAAGTCCGTCGTCGAAGGGTAGGGGCTGCAGAGGCGGGGGKGGGGGGCTCAACATCATTCCTCCCGTCTCCCCCCCGCGAATACAACGCTGGTCATTCATGACCAGTTCGTCATCGAGGGTTCATCCATGATCACCGGGTGCATACGCTGACGGGCACGTAGAAGGGTAGGGGGCTGGAGAGGGGGGGGACGAGGAGTTTTCGAGAATAATTTCGGCCGTCTTCTCGCAAATACATCGCAGCGTGATCGATGGGGTGGGATCTGTTCGGGGAAAGACGGTAGCTCGACAGCTGGAGGCAGAATGGTGGGGAAGGCGTTTGCTGAGCTGCATGGCCTTGCGAGTGCTGACGGCTGATGTTTCTGTTGTCGACTGGCCAACCAGCGTCGTATGACCCCATCAAGACGTGCATCAAGGTGGCCGCGGAGAGGAGTGGGGGATTTGCGGGCACACTGACGATGGCGTCATGTCTAGTACCGATATCATCGGCAGTTCTCACTACACCCTTTCTTTCCCCCCCCCCTCCCTCCCTCACTCCAGTGTCGATTCCATGCCAACGCGGGAATTGCGATCACCGACAGCTTTGTCAAGCTCGGCTCTCTTGGTACAGTGACGAGTGGGGCTACGGCAACCGCGTCGTGGATGTGATCAAGCACATCTCGAAGATGTGAGCAGAAATGATGGTCGTGGGGACGTAATCCTCCATATCTTCTTTCGTTTATTTTACATGCTCGCTTCACACCGCAAGGCGCAGAGAGGTGACGTCTATACGTGTGTGTGTGCATGTGCATATGTGTGTGTGCGATCTTGTTGCCCGCTGTTTTGTTATATTTGGCTGTTCCCTTCCTCTTTTCTTTGCCTCTTTGCCTTTCGGCTATGTGCAAGTGGGTCGATATGACACACGGGGGTGGGGCCAGCCGCCGCTCAACCTACATCCACGTGGGCGGCCTTGTACGCAAAAGAGGTTCTTTATGAACAGGGGGAGTCTTGTAAGGAAGAAGATATAGAAAAACGATTTTTTTTTCCCTTGTTTTCTTTCTGTTTTTTTTTTTCCCCGCTTTTCCGCTCTTATATCCTTGTGACGATATACATNGACGAGTGGGGCTACGGCAACCGCGTCGTCGATGTGATCAAGCACATCTCGAAGATGTGAGCAGAAATGATGGTCGCGGGGACGTAATCCTCCATATCTTCTTTCGTTTATTTTACATGCTCGCTTCACACCGCAAGGCACAAAGAGTGTACGTCTATACGTGTGTGTGTGCATGTGCATATGTGTGTGTGCGATCTTGTTGCCCACTGTTTTGTTATATTTGGCTGTTCCCTTCCTCTTTTCTTTGCCTCTTTGCCTTTTGGCTATGTGCAAGTGGGTCGATATGACACACGGGGGTGGGGGCAGCCGCCGCTCAACCTACATCCACGTGGGCGGCCTTGTACGCAAAAGAGGTTCTTTATGAACAGGGGGAGTCTTGTAAGGAAGAAGATATAAAAAAACATTTTTTTTTTTCCTTGTTTTCTTTCTGTTTTTTTTTTTTTCTCGCTTTTGCGCTCTTATATCCTTGTGACGATATACATACGTACACACACACACACACAGAGAGAGAGAGAGAGAGAGAGAGAGAGAGAGAGAGAGAGAGAGAGAGAGAGAGAGAGAGAGAGAGAGAGAGAGATGTGCGGATCATTTTTTGTGCCTGTCGTTGTTGCTTTTGAGGGTTTTTATCGTAGGGTTCAGGTTGAAATCTTTATTCGGGTGTGGTTCTATCTCTGCCCTTGTTTCCTTTCTCCTGCTGCATCTTTACGGAAGCCTCTGCGCGTCTTGAGTGTAAGTCGTGAGGTAGTGACGTCAGCAGTAATTGTTGAACAACATCTGTCTGAAATACACCTTAGCTGTGGGCGATCACCGGCTTCACGACGGTTCGTGTAATTACTCCGATTGCGTCTCCGACTTCACGAGAGCTAACAGGTGATAGCCGGTGTGAGTCCGTGATGATCAGGAGGAGGATGAAAACGACGACGACGACCATGATAAGATCATGAAGCGGGTAGTTAGTCAACGTGCATGGCGATGGTTTAGTATTTCGCAGTTGTTGCTCGCTGTCGCACTTACGGTCGCATGGCATATCGAAGGGACCAACTTGAAGTGTGGTTCGGTCGCAGTCCTTGCCGCCGCCGCGGCCTACTCCCCGTCCAACGTTTCCTCCTTGGAGCCGCCGTCATCCTTGKCGTGCGGWGAAGGTAGCGGCTGTGGCACTCGGGGAATTGCATGGATGCTGGAAGACGATGATCATATGCATCAGTACTCTCGACGTCATCCCTGGGCTGATGAGCAGTACGTGCATCCCTACGGCCATCGCCGTCGTCATCATCCTCGCCATCTTCTGTGGGAGCATCGGCATCACTGTCAGCATCGTCGTCATCGTCGCTGCTGGCGGAGGCAACTCGAGGCTAGTGACGCAAGTCGCAACCTACAATTTGAAATCCGTGACGAGGATCTGTTGACGTTACGCGAAAGTCCGATCCGCAATTCCCAGCCGGAGTGGAACGCAAGTGAGGTGAGTTGGTCGGACGTGTGGTCCCTCTCGTTCTCACCTGCGGACCGGTCGTTGTTCTTCCTCATGAGCGATCGGTTATGGAGGGTCAAAACGGCGGAGCCAATGGGAAGCGGCGGGGGTAATGTGTCGCTTGTGAGAGGGCCCTGGCGACCGCCAGGCCTTGGAGGCTTTTGTCGAGCGTTTGCATTGATTCCTGATGGAGTGTCACGGGTAAAGAACAATTCGCTGAACCGCATCGCGATAGTAGCGGACGACTTCAACCTCTCTTTGAGAGCGTACAACGTGGACAACGGTTCTGTTCCTCCTCCGCTCTCGGTTCAAGATTATGCCATGGTTACCCTAGGGGAAGCAATCCTCAGTTTGGCTTGGGACGCGAACCGTCGCGTCTTGTACGGATCGTCCCGCAGTGCACTCTACCGAATGAACCTTTCGGTCAGCGATGGACGGAACGTCGAGCTGGAGAGGTGGATAGGTCCAGATTGGAACCCCAGTTCCCCTGAACTCCGGGACAGCAGCGAGGATCCTAGCTCCGTGAGATTCAATCGTCCCTACGTGAGCTCGTCCGCCATATCCGCGGACGGCGAGCTCTTGTACGTGGCAGATTGGGGGAATTCGGTGATAAGACGGGTGAAAACAGCCAGTCGAGCTGTGGAGACGATCGCTGTCAGGGGCACAGGTGCTGGTGCAGAGTTTGAGAAGCCCGTGGGGCTGGCTTTAATGTCGGACGGTTGCCATCTATTTGTGTCAGAGTATGACGGAGGACGGCTGCAGGTGCTCACATTCCAGTATAGTGGTGGGCCAGCTATCAGTTGTCGCACTGTGGCCAGGTCAAGTCGTACGGACGGAAATGCCGGTTATTTGCTGCTGGGAATGGCGATCTCGCCGGATGACGAGGTGCTGTACGTAGGAAGAGCGTTTTTCGATATTTTGGAGCTTGGCGTCAATAAATCGGCTCTCCCTCCTTGCGGCATCTTGGCCAAGCCTACTACACCTCGTCGTCCTTCGGCAGGAGTCGTCATCGGGGTTGTGGCGTCTTCCCTTGCCGTTCTAGCTGCTGTTGCTGCCACCATCGCGGAGAGCAGGTGGCACTGCTTGCGATCCCGGTTCAAGCAAGGGGGACGACGAGACAGCGGACGGGGATCCAGACGGGAAGATGACCTGGRGGGTTCTTYGMTGTGGTCGTCCTCTGCGTGGACCACGTGGAGCCAGGAGAAACGGGAGCAGCAGAAGTCGGCAGCAAATGACGGAGCCGTGATTCAACTGAGACGGCCTTCCCTGGTGAAAGGGTACGCGTTCGAGGAGATCAGGGAAGCTTGCGATGGCTTCAGTGCGGCGCGATTGGTGGGGAGGGGGGGGGCGGCKGASGTGTACAAGGGACAGCTCAGCAACGGGCAAGTGGTGGCGGTCAAAGTGATGAAGGACAATTTCTCGAAGGCGATGTTTCGGCAGTTCCAAGCGGAGCTGGACGTTCTAGGCACACTTCGTCACAGCCACCTGTGCAGCATCATCGGCTTCTGTGAAGAGGGAGGGAAGTCGTTGATCATCTACTTCCCGTTCGCGGAGGGAGGGACGCTGTACGAACAGYTGSACTTCCCTCCGACTGTCTCTACGGCCGCCGCCAAGCGTGGCCTTGGCCAAGAGGAAGAGGAAGACAGATCTGRCMACCATCCGGTGGMAACGCGTGGGACACAACGGGAGGGAGATAGGATYGGCAACAGCAGCAGCTCCAGCTCCGGCCGTACAGGGCAGCGAGCACCGCTCAGCTGGCAAGATAGAGTCTCCATTGCCSAGCAGATCGCTAGAGCACTGCGCTATCTTCACGAAGAGGTAGACCCGCCGGTGATTCACAGAGACGTCAAGAGCAAGAACGTGCTGCTGGGAGGTGGACCAACAGGGGGAGGTGGGGGGGAAAGGGAGGGCGATGGGGGAGGAGGCAKGARGACAGGAGTGAGGGCTTATCTGTCTGACTTCGGTCTGGCGAAGGTGGGGCGAAGCGTTTTTGGTCAGTTGCCAGCAGGCGAGACCGTGGAGACGTACAACGTGGCAGGGACACTGGGATACATAGCGCCCGAGTACTACACCTCAGTCCGACTTACGACCAAGAATGATGTTTACTCTTTCGGGGTGGTGCTGATGGAACTCGTAACGGGTAGAAAACCATTCGGTCGGTCACCGCCTATTGCTGGCAGCGAGACTAGGGAGGAGATGGAGAAGGAGGAGGGGGACGTAAGTCTGGCGTCCTGGGCGACCAGAGTACTTGGTGACTCTGTACCCCTCATCACCGACGGGGAAGGACAAGCCGAGTCGCAAAAAGCAGTAATGCCAGCACTCAAAACCGAGATAAACACTGGGGAAAGGTTTATGGATCGTATTCGGCAGATTGCAGATCCGGGGCTCCACTGGGCAGACAGAAATGTGGACTGGATTGCTGTATGCGGCATGGCAGAGATCGCCATGGCCTGCATCTCGCGCAGTCCGGAGCAGAGGCCGCGGATGAGTCTCGTCATAGAAAGGCTAACTCGTCTGACTGGATGACGACGGCAGATCTGGACGGTGATGATGAAATTCCCGGGACGCATCTAGGGACCCAATTGATCCGGCAACGTTGATGGCCCACGTCGTTACAGGTTGACAGGGCTTGGAAGTGCCCGGCCATTGGAAAAATCAACCTGGCATAGAGATCTGGGGATGCTTTGGGGCGGGCATCCTAAGGCTTGGACCCCACTGGCCGGAGGCTGGAAAAGGCACTTGGCCGCGAAAAGCTGCCCAACGTCGGTGGAAAGGAATTGGGACAACAGTCGAGATGAGATACCGACAACACCAAGAACAGCCATCAGGGGCTGAGGACACAGAAGCAGCTGCTCGGTATTTGGCATTATGCTAGGTTAGATTGGCTCAATTTCGTCTATAACTTTGTTTTTAAGCAGAATTTTTTAGGTTATAACCGTGTCTCACAGGGTATAATAATCGCTTGCTGATGTCAGGGTGTTTACATTACCAGTATTTCGTGGCTAGATTCACTAAGGAAGATTTCTGCGGAAAGATGAAATCCGTAGTTTTCTAGGCTGGCACAGACTCTGTCTGTCATCCACGGACCCGTAGTTTTCTAGGTAGGCTTAAACTATGCTTGACGTTCTGCCTTTTGTATGTAGGGCACCACCATTCCTTGATTTACGTTGTTGTACGCTGTTGTCTCCCCGAAATTCGTACCACATCTGTTCCGGTGCGGACGCTGCCCTTAGTGTTTCGTTTTTAGAAAACACGTATTATTGAAGTACTTTAGGACTGAGAGGGAGGGATAATTGTCATCTCCGAGGTAGGGGAGTAAAATTGTCATTTTCTTCTCTCGTTTGTATTAGGTATTCTTGCCTTTTGATAAGTTGGTTTTCTTTATAGTCATTATAAGAATAGCCAGTACGAAGGAGCAAGGGGAACACCAATGGTAGGATGATACGAGAGACCCGGTGAAGAGGAAACTAGAGTTGTATCCACTGGGTGCCTGGTGGGAAACCCGTCTTGGCAACAAAGGCTCTGTACAGGGTTCCGGATAGTGAGGATGTCATTGAGAGGGTATCCCTATGAAACCTGCACAGTCAATCCTCTGGACTCCAGAGTAATCAATGCTGGCAGGTGTTCTTTTTCCTTATGTTCACATTCATCACCCTGTATAGGGGACGCTGGACCCGTTTTCCAGCAGGTGACGCTCCCCACCAATAGATGGAGCCTCCCCTCTGGGTGCTAGTGGTGACTGCTCTTATCAGCATCACTAGCACTGCGAGGGCATGTGTATTTAAAAAAAAAAAAAAAGAAAACAGAAAAAAGAAAAAGGGTATCCCTACAGCTTATTCGTCTATCGACAGCGGCACTACGGGGGCAGTGTGAGTGCCATGGTCAGTGGTGGGAACGTTAGTCGAATGTAGTTATTACAAGAGTAGGTAGCACGAGGGAGCAGTGGGAACACCAATGGTTGGGCGAAATGAGAGACCCGGTGAAGAGCAAACTAGAGTTGTATCCATTGGGTGCGTGGTGGGAAACCCGTCTAGGCAATGAAGGCTCTTTACAGTGTGATTGGACAGTGATGATGGGAGGGTAACCCTACAGCTTAGTCCTCCGGCCTAGCTCCTGGTCTTTGAGCTTATAGATAGTTTTAATTCCGGCAGCCAGGTGCCTCTGTTCTTGGTGGAGGTGCATTTAGTGTTGTTTTTCAGAATCGTTTCTACAGTGGTTTATGACTGGAAATAAAGGGAATCTGGTGATACGCGTGGAATTGCTAATTACTGTAGCGGCGCCACCTTGTCCAGTGAGAGTGTAACAAGGGGCGGTGGGAACGCTACTGGTCAGATGGCACGAGAGAACTGGTGAAGGGCAAACTTGAGTTGTACCCATTGCGATCGCTATATCAAGAMGGTCCAAGGGTGCGTGGTGGGAAACCCGTCATGGCAGCTCAGGCTCATTACAGGGTGCTGGGACAGTGTGGGTGAAAGGATAGCTCGCCACAGCGGGTCATGAGCGTGAAAACAAGGCAATCCTTACTATAAGTTCAGGGTGAAACCCACGGAATTACTAATAGCGGCGCCTTTCTGAGCGGTGGGAGGGTATCAAGAGGCAGTGGGAACGCTATTGGTTAGGTGCTACGAGAGAACCGATGTGGAGCAAACTTGAACTGTACCCATTGTGTCCGCAAAAAACGAAGGTCCAAGGGTGCGTGGCGGGAAACCCGTCATGGCAGATCAGGCTCCTTACAGGGTGATGGAGCAGTGAGGGTAACAGGGTCGTCCCTGTAGCTGTGAGAGGACCAGTGTCGGCGCAGTCAATGAACTGCTTTGTTTTTGGAGATTGGTTGGTCCTAAGGGTTGCATTTCGTTTTTGAAAATCGATTGGCAATAGTTATTGCAGACTTGCAGATGGAAATTGGCCCGTAGTTAAGGGCTAGAGTGTAGACTGGTTGAGTATTTGGCATCGTTGTTAGGTCTTCCAGTGGAATTTCTTTCAGGAGATTTAGGTGAGTCGCAGATAGACTCCCACGAAGCGAAGTCGGGTAATGCTCCTGGACATGAATGTCTGTAGGATCATGGATAGAGAGATAGCTTGTCCATTTATGTCTTTTGGTAGATTTCAATTGTCTATTTTTCTCCCTTCCTTCAGAAATGGCAAGACTGTTGATAGGAGCATGGGACTCTGGACTCGGTTTCCAGTTAGCCTCTCTGAGGCTTGTTTCTCCTTTCCGGGTTGAGATGTGGAGGGATTCCCGGCCTCCTTTTGCCTTTATAATGAAAYTATGCTATTTCTTCAAAAAAAAAAGAAAATTAAGAAGAAGAAGAAGAAAGGAATTGGCACGTTTCGAAGCGACCCCACCCCCGACATCTGGCAGGCCTTTGGAAAAGGCCAGGCTTGGCGCATTAGGAAACCTGAGAGGGGCTCCTCCCGAAAAGGAAAGTACGGATGGCCCATTTGGACGATTCAAGCGATGCGTTTCGGCCTGGTCCAGCCTGAAGTCCGCGATGGCCGTCAACTGCGCCACACCTTGCCAGCCCAACGGTTGGCACTTTACCCTCCCTACCCTGCTGGAGGCCGTTTTGGAAAAGGACTGCCGGTTTCTGGCTGAGACTTTTCTAGCCGCCAGCCATGTAGAGACACGGCCAACAGTGTTTCCAGAATGGCAGTGGGGTCTGAAACCGACATTGGCATACCTCAAAAAAACTTCCTGGCGGCCCAGTGGGTTCGAAATCGGCCTTCCATGCCAAAACTTTTCCAGCCGCCGGCCAGTGGGGTCCAAGCCTAAGGGACAGCTGCCGGATGCTGTCAGGACTAGGCTGGCCAGAGCTGGGGCGCGTAGTGTTGCCCTGTGACTTAGCAGGCCGGAAGTGTGAGGATGGAAGAGCTTGGCAGAGAAGAGGACAACCTGGCCGTCTTGTGGCCACTGACGTGGACAACTGGTATGAGGACAACAGTGCCAGCTTCTATGAGACTTTAGACAGACGGCACGTGAGAGCACAAACATTGGAAAAGCTGTATCTGTCACTCATCTATGAACTCGGAGACCTCCTGCTGCCGGCCCTGCCCGGAGAACAGCGCTTGGACCAATTGACTGGGACCAATTGACTGGGATCCCCACTCATTCAGGGGCCCATCTGGTGTGAATACGAGGACGGGTAAATCTTTTTTTTTTTTTTTTTTTTTTTTTTTTTTTTTTTGTGGTTTCTTTTTTTTTTTTTTTTTTTTTTTTTTTTTTTTTTTTGGAGAAACCGCTCCATCTATTGGTGGGGAGCATCACCTGCTGGAAACTGGGTCCAGCATCCCTTAAATACCTCATTATAAAACAGTCATTATTGAAGTGACGCCGTTGTGCTGGAAACCGGGTCCAGCGTCCCTTATCCAATCTACTCTTCCAAACCTATCCTGCAGCAGGATCGGGCATTGGGGGGGTAACCACTGGGGGGCACCAGTGGGGTCTCCCTCCATCCCTAGCCTCTGCCCTCCACCAACTGTCCTCCGGGCGCCAATTCCCGTAGTAACAGTAACAATAATTATGGCTCAAGGGCCCATCCAGGGTGAATGTGACGATGGGTGAATCCCGTAGTAACAGTAATTTTGGCTCTTGTATAATGTTGTAAAGGGACTCTGGACCCAATTTCCAGCAGGTGCAGCTCCGCACCAATGGAACGGAGCCATCCAACAACTGGGCTTGCAGAAGGGGTGTCTGCTCCTATCACACCCATTCTACACCCGTAGTCTACGTTTTCTCCAAAAAAAAAAAGAAAAAAAAAAGAAGGAAGGAGAATAGGACAGCTTTCGTGGATTTTGGATTGATCCCTCAGATAACCCTTAGGTCTTCAGGTATTCTAATGACTGTTAAGGATTCTAGACTGTGAATAGCTGCTAGAATTAAACCACAATATCTTTCTCGGCCTTTTGGCTAAGATCAAGTGTAGTATCTGTTCTGATCAGTTTAACATCTTTTTTTTTAATTAAAACCAACCACTTTATTAAACTTGTTTCGACGAGGCCGGGGACCTCACAATTCAACCCGGATAAAAGTACTGACAGCATCAGCCAGCTTAGCTTAGGCTTCAGATGGGTATTTAAAACTAGGAACAGTTCCGGTCCCAGGGACTTCTGTCCTGATATACCCACTCTGAGCAAAAAATATAACTATTGCCACCAAGGCCTTCAAAGCCCAACAATCGAAAAAAGGTTCACAGACCCTAAGACCAACTTAAAATAAAGGGAAGAAGAAATAAAAGGAAGATAATCAATCCTGGACCAGGGGCAAGGTCCCACTTGCACGGGTTAAGAGATTGTGGCCGTCGATCTTTGCTATCTACGGTCAGTATCGCTTAATTCGTGTAAGTGGGACCTAGCCCCAGGGGTATCTAAGCCTCCCCCTTCCTGTCCTATGTCCCTCTCTATATCTAGTCCCCTATCCATCTACACTTCTGTTGTTTTTTTGCCCTCTATCCTCGATGGTCTGTTCTTCTGCACTCACTCCTCTATCTTTCCCTCTGCCTGTCTCCTGTGACTGCCCCGATTTCCTGCTGAACGAGTGCTCAGGTCCTTATTGCTATATACCATCTACCTTGACCCTCTTTCAAATCAATCACCTAACACCACTCTCCCCATTTCTATCTTCGTCACTTTTCCGTCTATCCCCCATGTGTCCTCAAACCATTTGATCCCTGCTTCCCTGTTCCCTCCCTTGCTGACCTTTCTCCTCCAATCTGCCAACACTGATCGTCTCAGTAGCTGAGTGAAGGTTCTTCTCATCTGTTTATTCTTCCATTCCTCCCCCCTGAACACTCTGTTTTTTTTTTT